ATGGCCAACCTGTCAAAAAATAACGGAGAACAGTCAGCCAGCCATGTTCCATCAAATTATCCAATCCAATCAAAATCCGTATCGCTTCTCTATTCTGATTAATTCTCATCATAAATTCTTCAACTACTTGTTTAAATTTCTCATAATTTTCAAAATCCCCATTTATATCAAACTGGTGTCTCTGAACTGTGTGAACTCTAGTAAAACTACAAGATTCAAGGAAGTGGCAATTATTACCTATTACTTTAGGAAATCGACAGTTTTCATTTCTTTGAAGACAAACTCTCTTAAAGCTGTAGCGACATTAGGTTATTTTGAATCAGGAGAGATGAAAAATGAGCAATACCTTCACCGGGACTCCATCCACGGACCATTCGAATTCGCGTCGTGCTGGCTGACCGCTACACCATGGAGGCATGCTAAGAAAGCGGAAGAAATACCTTACATACTCTCCCTTTTAAAGGGCGAGTGGGGTTTTAGGGGACCCAATCGCCAGATCCTGGTGGTGAAGAATCATCATTCACCACCTCTTAATTTGGACGCCACTGTAGAGACACTAAGTTATTTCGAAGGAGGGAGTCATGAAAAATGAGTAGTGTCCTGGCCGGGACTCGAACCAGGGACCTCTCGAATTCGCGACGAGCTTGCCTGTTACTACACCACGAAGGCATGCTAAGAAGGCGGGAAAAATTCCTTATGCAGTATACTGGGAAACATACGTGACGAGTACTAATTTGGTTCATATCTACATTATTAGATATCTTTTTCCTTTAATCAATTGTCAAAAATCTGATATAACTATTATTTTTTCTAGACGATTCCAATTTTCTTTCCATGCCACAATTATCTCCTTTATCATACTATTTAATAACTTTCTTTTAGAATCTTGTTGCAATTACTTTCTTCGAGAACTTAATGTAATATATAAATATGCAACTACTATGTCTTCGCTTCTTACGCTTCTGTAATTGACGTCATTGAATTTTGAGGAGGAGCGAGAGTAGTAAATCATGTCGCTGAAACATTTCAGAGCATTCTGAAGGATTCGAGTTCGGAGACTGAGTTGGCCGTTTCATGCCATTATTGTTTCTTGCTGAATATATTCTTTCATTAAATGAGTTTTCCGTGGTGTAGTGTCGTAATTTTAAAAATAAAACTTTGGAATATTTTACGAACAAATATTAAGAATTTGTTAAAAAACGTGTTCTATTAAGAAGAAGAATTTACACCGTTGCCAAATATGATGTACTAAATGACTCCTGCCATTGTACCTTCATAAATTGCTCTTATAATTTCATTCAACTTCGATTAACTATTAATCCTCGAAGGATGTGTATTGCACTTAAGACGTAAATTCCCGTTTTTGCAAATTTGATGTATGAAACGAATTTAAAAGCATTTTTTAGCAGCCATCGACAAATACTGCCGTTGTATGAAATATGAGCTCGTCAATTTAGATTCCGCGGCTTCGCTCATGGTGAATTCTTAGAATACTACCATTCCGAAAAGCACATAATCTTTAATTTATTTTTTCGATTTAATCAATCTATTATTAATTAACAAACTAAGCGACTTGAAAACAGAAGATAAAATTCTTAATTATTTAAATCTTTATTTTAATTTTTTTAACAATTATTGTTTTAATAATTGTGTAATTTAATGTTTCTTATTGATATAAATCAAAATATATTAAATTTAACATGCAGTCTAGTTCAAAAGAACGGAAATTTTGACCCGTATCCGTGCAACACTGGAAAGTTAGCATCGTTGAATAAATGCACACTGCTGTTCATAACATCTTTCCATTTTATAATTATGAAGCAGTGGATTTTTTTGCATTTAAAGCACATTTACAATCTTAGTAACGTTGAGTCCGTATGTAGAGTATTTTGGTCTCATTTCAATTCTGGATGATATTGCGATGTTCTATCATCACATGTTTAACACATGGGTCCATAATTTTGTGCCAACTGATTCAACCGCTTTGAAAATTTGAAAAAGTGCCAAGCTACCGCAAACTACTCATTCACCAAACAATATCGAAGTTATACGAGCTGCTAAGAGTACGAGCGAGGTTTACCACGCTCGATTTGCTACAAGAACGTAACACAAGTATATGAGATAAAATTTAACGTTCCTGTCGCAGCGGCACGTGGCATTTGCGTAAGGGTGCGTACGCATTATGCATAGCTTGCCTTTCGAAGATTGTAGGAATGTCTTCGCTGAGAGAATGGTCATATTTCGGGTGTTATTTTAAGAAATAACTGCAAGGTATGAAGTTCATCCCTGACGCATTCTATGCTACTCACTAATTCCGATTAAAAGTTAATGAGATAAACGTTCTCTTGTTCTGAGCTTCTGTTTCAAAATTTTTCACTCTTTTGAGCCACCTTATTGAGATATACAAAGTGGATCAAAAGAACGGAAAATTTCAGGGAGCATTTGCAGTTTTGTTTTAAATAATGAAACATATTTCTAACGGCATTTATTACGTAACTGGTACCAAAATCATTTATTGTTTAAATTTTAATATTGTTTTATTTTTCAATATATTATTTTTATTAATATTATTTTAAATTTTGGAATGCTTAATAGCAAACTCTTCTTGGACTAGACCAATTGTAATACGAAGTCGTCAGATTGCAATTATATTGTATTGGTTCTGTGTTTAAAATGAACCTGAAGTACTGTCTGTCAACGAGAAGAGATCCCGCCATAGCGTCTGGCGGGTGGCGGTGGCTATAGCAACAATGCTAGTATATTTCAAATAGGTGGGAACCAAGAGTTGTTTTATTGTTATTTTATTTTTGACGACTGTTGGCTGGGGGAAAAAGAGTTATCATTCGTCTTCAAAACACCCTTACGAAAAACGGGTCAAGGCTCGTTTCTACGGCAACAGACAGCTGCAGACTAACTGGCAAACGCTTTTCTCATGATAGACTGTAGAACTGACTCTTTTTATAACGACCCTTGTAACCTGAAGAAAAGAAATATTTAATAACGCGTAATCGCTATAACGGAAGTAGATTTATCGTACTCTTTTCAGCTGGAGTTGTAGATTACTCAGATTAATCTCAGATTAGATATTGCAATCGCATAGATAACGAGTGGTCGTTATAAAAAAACGTCTACTATAGTCAAGAAGAATTTTTATTTTCAACAAAATACTGACCTAATGAGTATAAATTAAAGTCTTTTATAAGCCTGCTCAATTTAAGCCATATAAAGGTCAGTATTTTTTGCTGAGTTCATCATAAAAACAGATGGTCATTTTCCTTCTTATTATTGTGATTTAAATTAGAATCTGTTTCAGTTTGAGAGCAAAATTTAAAGTGAAATGTGTTTGGGTAAAATTTCATTGATTTCCTGCCCATTATTTGATTTTGTTGTAACTTTTCTAGTAGAAAATCGTACATGGTGAGAATTTTAAGCTGTTTTATGTACAGTGGCAACTGAGTAATACGACAATAATTTGATCCAGATCATTAGACTTACACCAAACGAACTTTTCCGATAAGAAATAAAGGGAATATAATTAATCCGTTTTTATAAATAGCTCCGATTGTTGTTATTATAACGTTGTTTAATACTAAAATACAAATGCAGTAAGTGAAATATATACTATACATAAACGAAGTACTGCCCTTGATACCGTACATAAATGTTTTTTTGCTATTCACATCAAAAGCAATTTTTCAGCACACTCAGACGTCTCTGATCTTTGCTTCGCAATCGATTTCAACCCCTTCGTTATGGTAGCTGATTTAATAGCATCTTTGTTTTTCATAATCATTATATGATCGCATTCTGCATGTGATAGGCAATAGCCAAGTTCCGGATACGTATGCATTATCACACTTTTTAACAATTTCGTTTTAACTTCCTTGGTGATCCTCACAATTTTCTTCGTTGTTTGTCTCTTCTCATTTTTTTTCTTCTAAAATTCATTGCCAAGGAATTTACGAAACATTAAAACGAAAAACCACAAAATTGCTTGAAAAGTCAGTTATAGCAAGTTATGTTTACTGAATAGTAATAACGGGAAAACGTAGCATTGTTTCGAAAGAGGTAAAAAAGAGTAATACGTGACTTATCCAACTCGAGTCGCCTTCCAAACAAATATCCTACACCAAACAAAACGTATTACTTCTAAACAGGATTTAACTCTTTCGCATCGAAGTCGCCCGTAACGCCCGTTCACTCAGGCAACGGCAAACCGCCCCAACGCCTGGTTTATTTTCTACCTAGTTCTTTCCCCTCCACGTTAGTGTATGGCTCATTGGTTTCGCGAGTTGTTAAAAGACATGTCAATCATTCTTTTGAAGCAAATAAAGGAGAAGCAAATAAAGGGAAAGCTATTGACGTTCGCAGGTGCAATCCGGCCCTAAGGTGAAACTGCACACAATGAAAGAAACCGCAGAAAAACCTCTAAGAGCAGCAATGGGGAAAAGAAAACTATTCGAAGACAAATTCGTAAACACGGGCGTTTTCGATGTTTGTTGAAAACAGATTTGGTCGTCTCTCGATGCGAAAGAGATATACCAAGTTGGACGCATTTCAAAGCGAACGTATACCGAGATACCACTATATAGAGAGAAGACAAATAGGTGCAGACTACACATGCTGAGTAAATCAAAGGATTTTTATAAACTGTTTTATATGATGGTATTTTGTATTGCTTTATGGAATGTATTTAAAAGGGCAAATTTTGGATAAATAACAGGACATTTTGAAATTCCACATTATTATATTTCCAAAAAATGATATTTTGTAAACGAGTTTAATAACTTTCATCGTAACATATTACATTGCACCACATTGGTTTCGCAGCAAAACGACGTAGAACATGAGTTTCTATACTTTTTACCCACCCCTGAAAAAAGGAAATGTTTCTCATTCCCTGGACAGTCATTCAATTTCTTTTCTTTCTGAGTACAGACGACGATTGATCTGTGTATCTGTTTTCCGTCCTAACATTTATTTACTTTTGCATCCCACAGGAGCCGTCGATTTCTTGGAAGCTGATGTTTCCATGGGGCACGTGATGGGACAAGAGTTTGGCCCTCCCATCCCTATCATGGCCCACCCTCCAAACACCACTTCGGATCTGTCACTGGATACTTGGTTGGACATCGTGATTGCTCGACGAACGGGGAAAGGCGTGAAGCTGGATTTTAAATCAATAGAAACCTTGAAACCGTCCATGAAATTGTTAGAAAGTCATGCTCAGAAGGTATGATATTCAATAATTTTCTGCGGTTATTATATTTTTCTACAAAAGACACATACATATATTAAGAGGTAAAATGTAATAATGAAATCTAATTTTATTTAGCTTAATCAATTAATAATGAAAAGTTTACATTTTGTGAAATACGTTTCTCTGAATTACCTAAAAGAGGCTTGTGGGATTGCTGATTAAGATTCAGTAAACTGGTATGAACTAAAACGATTCTATTATTTTATATTTAGTAATCTATTATTTTGTAGTTTACCAATATTTTTAAAAATCATCTTTATTTTGCGAGATATACAAAACAGTGAAATTTGCGAAGCCAGTTTTGCCCAGAATGTGTTACTTCTTTAGTGATCCTATGTTTAAAAGTAAATGATTCGAATATCGGATGAATAACTAAACCAGTTAATCAAACTTACAGTCTGTCGATGGTTTACCCGCGAGTTAGTTATGGAGGTGATAGGTGCACAGTAATTTTTTTCCTCTATAAAGATCATCATCTAAATTTCTTTTTTGTTCTCTCGGTCTTTCGTCGACGTCAATTCTACCAGATCGACGCTACTGAGTATTGCTGCTACGCATTATCATTCCTGTGCAGTGTTTATCATATGAATATAGAGCAGTTACACGTTTTTGCGTTTTAAGAGGAAAATGAAACGTTTGATACTTCGCCAAATGGCAACAAACTGGCGCGTGCAATTTAAAACTATCTTAGATCGGATATCTTCAGAATTCACGATAGTATTAAATGTTGACATTTATTTTTTTGTATTCGCTGTTTTGTTTCTTTAAAAATAATAACATAGAGGTAATGTTGTAAACTTTTATTTATTTTTCCATTTATTTTATTTTATATTGACTTACGATGTTATTTGTTTAAAAGAAATGCGAAAAATTATTTCATATGGACAAATCTGAAGATTCGTAACTGTTGATGCTGGATTTCGAGTTACCTTTGTTAAAGATGTAAAGAAAATATGGTAAAGACGACTAAATCGAATTGAAAGGTTTATTTTTATTTCATTCCTTTCTTTCTAGATAACTCTGAGAAAGCGTTTTTAAATATAAGAGGAATTGCCACTATTGTTTTCTGCCTGTTTATTCCCCTTAATCCTCTCATGTGGTTAGAAGCAGAAAAATAATCATTTCGAGGACAGATGAAGTATTATCTGAAGTGGTCGAATGTCGAACCACTTTTAATGCGTAATTTTAAACAATCGAACACTTATGTCATGCACGGTCATGTCTCTTCTCCCTTTCATGAATGTGATTCGTTGTTTTTATTTTCGAAAGGGTTCTCAACCATACTTTTCAAATCTCTTGCCTGAAGTGGTATCTTCTTTAATTAAGGTAGAAATAATTAGATTGTTAAAAATTTGGGAACAATGCGAAGGCGCTTGGTGATTCGAGAGCAAAGTTGTGCCGGGTTCGATTATGCCACGGTGTAAAGAATTTTTAAGTGTCACAAAGGAGTGAAGCGAAAGTAATTGAAGTTTGCCGCTCCTGCCCTTTAGTCTTCTAATTAACGGTTTATGTTCATTCGCATGGTTAACTGGGATTAAGGATTATTCAGTACTTAACTGAGATTTGCAGTATTTGGCAAATAATCAAAAAAAAAAAAAAACTAATCTGGTAGAAAGACGAGCTAGGTAAATGAATATTACTATGTTAATGTATGGAAATACTGCTTAAAAAAACCCGATATGTTTCAGGTTTTAACGGTTGCCCAAAATGGTTTATTAAGTTTTTTTTTACGCTCTTGCTGAGCTCGCTGCCTACCAGTCTGCTGTTGCACTCCCTCCCGCTAAACCATCTATTTTTTGTCTTTTTAGCTTTATTATTAAGCATCATTTTCGTAAAGGTTATCTCCTGAATTGTAGGTATTTAAATATTTGAATTTATGAGACACCGCAAGTAGTGGTAGCTAAGTTTGTTGTAATTTTAGTTGTACTATAAAGCGTACTTTTTAATAAATTAATATGTTTTTATCTTCTCTTTGCATTCCTGGTTGGATTCTGTAAACAAAAATTTGTCTAAACGATAGGAATTTTAATCAGGTGAAAATTAATAGTTATTTAAGTTTATATAGTTGTTTCTTAATTTCTTTTTGTATTAGTTTCCGGCAAGAAGATATAGTAAGTAAGATTTCATTGGAAAAGTCTGCAACCCTACTTTGCTGGCCCATCAACGCCCGAACGGTAAAAGACCTTGAATATTGGCAGTTCGATCTGAGGTTCGAATCCCGGCGAACGGGTTGGTTGCCTGGGCATTTTCGTAGTTTCTCTATGTGCAAGTTTCCTTTAAAAACTCCTCCAAGGGTCATCCCTCCCTTTCCGAATAAATAAATAAAAAAATAATTAAAAAAAACTCTGCTTAAAGAAGATTTGAGGAAAAAAAAGCAAATTTTATTATTAAAAAAGAACATAAATTTTTTTAATGTATGCATTATACAGTACAGGAACAGAAAACGGGAAAAAAAGGACTCGAGTAGGCGAAAATTCAAAAAGAATAATGCAGTTCAAACGTATATATTTCTGGAAATTAATTGAGCATTATATTTTTATGCAAGTAATTTAATAAATATTTGTAATGCGCATTATCAATAATTAAAAGTAATGCTTTCACGCAAACAATAAATAACGTATAAACCACGTTAGAAATTCGTATTTTTTCTTTCCAGAACTCTTATAAAAATATTCCCAGATTTGAATAAGATTTCTTTGCAATAACGGTTTTTCAGTCTTAAATATTGACTTGCGACTGTTATATGCTATTTTAACAGTTAAATACTTAAATTCTTATACTATCAATACTCTTCTTAGCTTCTTTCGCAATAATTCGTCCAGTTAAGTTTGCAGTTTCTTAATCGTAGGGTAATTATACCGGAACTGAAAACTGATGGCATTAGTTCTTGTTTAAGGAAGTGTTCATGGACTTTGGAGGTTGTTTATGCTCTCCTGACCATGATTTTGAAAACAATTAGAGTAAGTGGTAGATACAGTGCTTTCGGGATGATTAGTCTTGCGTTTATTGAATAACAGCAGCTGGTTTGGTTTGGTTTATTTGATTGTGACAAGGCGTACCTAAGGAGATGTATGTCTTCATGGATTGGAAACTGGCTGGTATCTAAGTTTCGTATAGAAAAAAAGCTGCCAGCCGTTCACTGTGATTCTAAACCAGTTCGAACTACTAGTATTCAGCGACTTTACAACTTAGCCATTGGTGGACGCTGCTATACCAGCTTAGACTAAATGTTGTAACTTGACCAGCTATCAATAGTTAATAAAGCTTCAAGGTTTTATGTTGTAAATTATTTTAAGTTATTTTGTTAAAATAAACTTTTAATTATTGTTCTTTAGTAAGTTCTCTGTTCTTATTTTGTGAATTGTGTATCCTGAGCTAGACTATTGGATTTAAACCATGTTGAGACTTCGAATTTCAGAGCTAAAAATTTATAATAAACACACAAGAAACCACAGGCGGCATTAACACATTATCAAAGCTTTATGTTTCTTCTTTAAAATAAGTAATAATATACTCTTTATTCAATAAGATATTCATGCAGGAAACACAACAAGATTGGCAACATTCAAAAGTACTAAATTCGCTTCTGGAAGTAAGAAAATGTGAAGTTAAAAAAATCTGAGTGTGTGTATGTGTATTTTAGTCATGGCAAAGCACACGAGGGCTATCTGCCTAAGGGGAGGGATGCCTTCGTGGAGGACTTTCTAAGGGAAACTGGCTCGTATACACGTTACACATGGGAAAAACCACGAAAACGCAAATGCAGCCAGCCCGTTCGCGGGATTAGAACCTCGGACCGAACTACCAGTGTTCAGCGACTTTACCGCTCGGCCGCTGGTGGGCCTAAAAAAATCTGAAGCAAGGATTATAGAGTCGTTAGGTTTATCTATGCTGGACCCCCTTTTTCAAGTTTCGAACTCCGGGCCTCTCGATTATGCATCCGACGTACTTCCAGTTCCACCACGAACGTATGCGGAAAGGAGGAAGGAAATACCTTTATAAGATGACAAGCATTATTAAAAATATTTCTCGTTACTTTACGCCTCAGTGCTGTTATATATACAAACACATTGTGAACATTTGATGCAGCAGCACGAAATGTTTACATACTTATCAAGTGATGTAAATTAATTATGCAATTCAAAATTTGTAGCTTTAAGGAAATTTCTGAAATTATATTTGAAGTCGGTGTAAAGGTATGCATGAAAAACGAAAAGCTTATATCTTTTCTGAAAACACTACATTGACTATTATATTATCAATAATTGAAATTTTGCAGTTTCGAACATTAAAATAACATTATTAATCAGGTTTGATGAGTGTCAGGTTTGATGTATGCAGCTTTTGTTTGATTTATAGTATGCCTTTATATATTACCATTTCGAAGCAATTTGAACGTTCTTTAGCGATCATTTAAATTTATTTTAAATAATATTCTTTCAAAAATTTGTGAAGAGGGAAAAAAAAAAAAAAACTCCTCAACATGGATATGTTATAGTAATAGAGAAATCACTTTTAGTTCAAAGGGGCCTTTGTCCTATTGCTTTCGTTTTGCAGTTTTGCGTTGAATCATTATAAATGTCCGTTTCACTTTTCAAACTATTGCCACCAAATGTTAGAGTCCTGCATTATATTTGAAGAAACTAAATGATGAAAAATCTGCATAAATATATGTATATTTTTCGCATTGTGATAAAACAAAGGTATATAGAGCCATCGAATTTTGAATGACGTAATCCTCCTACCTATATGGTCATTTGGAATTTGTTTATTATCGACTTCATATTTTGTAAAACTTTAAGAATATTTTATTAACAAACTCAACGATTTAAAAGCGAGCAATGGCAACACTCTACAGGGGGAAAAAAACCCTTTTATCTCCAGCGCGCGGAACTGTGTATCGGAAATTCTAAAAGAATTATGATATTTAATAAATAAAGGTAACACACAAAACTTTAAAAAAACGCCCCTTT